CACTTTTGGACACACCTGTTACAATGCGACATATCAAATATATATATGTATGCATATAGGAGATATACATATTTCAGTGTGTGGTAATCGTGTCCTGTGTGTGTGTCTGTGTGTTTATCTTCTCTGTGTCGATTTTCCCCTGTGTTCGCATACACACCATTTTTTTTTTTGGTTTTTTTTGTTGTTTAGTGTAGTCCCTAATAACCTCTGTTTTGGCTACCTCTCTTCATCTACTGCGTGGCTTGAACCAGACCCCGAATTTCCTTGGTCCGAACAGGTTTCTCTTTTTTTTCGTTTTTTCTTCATTTTCGAATTCGAATCGTCGTACATACTACTTCCTCTCCGTCGCGATTGTGATTCGACCCCCTAAAAAGGGGCTTCGTGGGAATACTATTTTGAGGCCTCTGGTCGACTATTTTCCTTTTTTTAAATGGAGATATCTTTCGATCGGGTTCGACGGTGCTTGAACGGTGTTTAAGAGCCTGATAAGCTGATTGTCACAGTTTTCTATGGATTACGAAAAGAAAAGTATCCTCGATCCTAACGACTAACCGTCCAGCTCTCCGATGATTTCGAGGGATGCGTGATCACCGGGGTTTCGGTAATGTTTGATTGTCTCAGTTCTCTGCTTCCTACGTGCGTTATGGTTTCGATAGAATTTCGAAGTCGAATTTCGAGTCCTCCAAAATCCTCCGATGTTTCGGTTTCTGTCGAAATGTTGGAACAACTGAGAATGTAACAGAATTCCTTTTTTCTTTGGAAAGGATCCAGCAAATTGCTTCCTTTGAAACTCCCAGCTTTTAAACTCTGTTTTTTCTTTAAATCGCTGATGTTTTTTAAACGGAAGGAGCATCCACGGGTGCATTTGCTGGGCGTTTTGTAACGGGTCACGCCTATATTTTGAATGATCGAAGCAATCGAGATATGTCTCGTCATTGGTCTCTATAATATATAAAAATACGTCGTCTATAATGAGGAAGTTACGTTGAATATGTTTGTATATATAATATATATATATATATATTAGAACAACTTTTTTTTTGTTTACTTTTTTTTTCTAGAATTTCGCAAAGGTGTTTAGTTGGTCTGGAGAAATTTCGGAGCCTGAATATCTGCGACACCATGTAGCGAGTGCTGGCTATCCCAACCCTCACCTCGGCCCCCCTCAACCCAGCTAGTGATATACTCGATCTAATCCGTCTACAGGGTGCCCCCCTCTCCGCTCAGATCCACACACAAAACCTATCCAAAATAGTGCCCCTTTAATCTCACGAAACACGTTGCCCGAACTAATTCTCGAATTCGAAACGATCCTTACACGGTACTTTCATCGTTTTAGTGGCGTTGGGTTGGCCAAGATGGCTGGTTGATTTTTTATGTTATTCGGAATAGTTACTATGGTTCATCAGTAAGATTTAAATAGTGATATACAAATTTGAGGATTTGATTTACTGTTTTGGTAGAATTTTAGAAATTAAACAGAAAAGGAAATATCAGCTAACATTTAAATAGTGATACAAAAATTTGCAGATTTGTTTTACAGTTTTGGCATAATTTCAGAAATTATATAGAAAAGGAAACATCAGCTAATATGTAAATAGTGACAACAAAATTTGAAGATTTGTTTTTACAGTCTTGGTATAATTTCAAAAATTAAATCGAAAAGGAAACATCAGCTATCATTTAAATAGTGATACAAAAATTTGAAGATTTGTTTTACAGTTTTGGTATAATTTTAGAAATAAAAATTGAAACATCAGCTAACATTTGAATAGTGACAACAAAATTTGAAGGTTTGTTTTACAGTTTTGGTATAATTTTAGAAATAAAAAAGAAAAGAATAGCTAATATTTAAATAGTGACGAAGATTTGAAGATTTGTTTTATAGTTTTGGCATAGTTTCAGAAATGAAATAGAAAAGTAAATATCAAGATGCAAACCTATTAACATTTAAATAATAACAAGAAAATTTGAAGTTTTGGCATAAATTTAGAACGAGGAAACATCAGCTAATATTTAATTCGTGACAAAACAAATTTGAATTGTGTTTTATAGTTTTGTATAACTTCAAAAATTAAATAGAAAAGGAAACATCAGCTAACATTTAAATAGTGACAAAAGGATTTGAAGATTTATTTTATATTTTTGGCATAATTTCAAAAATTAAATAAATAGAAATAAACATCAGCTATCATTTAAATAGTGACAACCTAATTTGAAGATTTGTTTTACAGTTTTGGTATAATTTTAGAAATTAAATAGAAAAGGAACCAATAGCTAACATTTAAATAGTGAGAACAATATTTGGGGATTTGTTTTACAGTTTTGGTATAATTTCAGAAATAAAGGAGGAAAGATCAGCTAATATTTAAATAGTGACAAAAAAATTTGAAGATTTGTTTTATAGTTTTGGCATAATTACAGAAATTAAATAGAAAATTAAACATCAAGATGCAAACCTATTAACATCTAAATAATAACAAGAAAATTTGAAGTTTTGGCATGAATTTAGAACAAGGAAACCTCAGCTAACATTTAAACAGTGACAAAAGGATTTGAAGATTTATTTTATATTTTTGGCATAATTTCAAAAATTAAATAAATAGAAATAAACATCAGCTATCATTTAAATAGTGACAACCTAATTTGAAGATTTGTTTTACAGTTTTGGTATAATTTTAGAAATTAAATAGAAAAGGAACCAATAGCTAACATTTAAATAATGAGAACAATATTTGGGGATTTGTTTGACAGTTTTGGCATAATTTGAGAAATAAAAAAGGAAATAACAGCCACCATTTAAATAGCGTCCAAAGATTTGAAAATTTGTTCTACAGTTTTGACATAATTTTATAAATAAAAAAGCAAACATCAGCTAACATTTAAACAGTCCCAAAAAAATTTTAAATATTTGTTTTACACTCTTGCTATAATTCCAAAAATTGAATAAATTCACCATCAAATAGTAAACCTGTAGTAGCTGACATTTAAATAACAACAAAAAAATTTGAATATTTGTTGTATAATTTCAGCATAAATTTAGAACAAGGAAAACATCAAGTTGCAAAATCTATAAAAATCTATCAACAAAAGCTAAAAATTTTTGTATCATCTTCTGTTCCCCACTCTGCAAAATTTCTTCAATTCCCAAGAGGCTATCAAACCAGCTATTGATCAGCTTTGCGAGGAAGATTACAAATTAGATAACAAAAGAATCTTGTTGAGAATCGATACCTTGGCCAACCCAATACTTTGTTTCGCTTAACACTAGATTTACGGAAACCGTCATTTTGACGGGTGTCTGATTCCATATTTAAAATTGCAGAACGCGTAAATATTATTTTTTAACAACTTATGTTGAATTTGATATTAATAGATATTCTAATCAAAAGAAAAATCGAATTGTATGTTAATCGTCAACATGAAAGGTACGAATAAATATACGTGCGATCAATGCCCGTAAATCTAGTGTCAAAACACACAGAAACGAGACTGGCACAATCCCAGACACCCTGTATATAATCTATAAACCCGGGCACATCCGCCCCTTTTGTTCAACCGACTTGATTTCTTAAAGCTTCAACTACTCTTGTTCGGAAATTCATATTCCCTTCTCTTTTGGCGAAAACGGGGAAAGTCCCACGAAACGGTCCCTTTCCCCCAAAAATTAGACAAAGGAAGTGGAAATCATTGTCATCGCAATAATCATTAAAAACAGCTGTCAGAGTCGATGCTTGAAACAGACTTTCGGGATTCCCGGGAGGAAACAATTTTTTCTCTCTCACAAAATCACTTCACTCTCACTCTCCAACACTGACTGAACAAAATCAGAATTTTTCTAATCGTTAAAAATCATTTCCTCTCTCAGAAACGAAAATCTGTGTTCAACGCGAAGGAAACGACCGCGAAAAGCAACGAATTACGCGTCGTTCTATGTGCGTGTCCGTGTGGCCGTGTGCATGAGTGTGTGGTGAACGGGAATGTGTACGGAAACTCTTAACAGGCAGTAAAATAATCGCAGAACGGGTCGAACAACAGTTTTTTAACAGGCTTCTCAGGTACTCTCACGGAGACATTGTGCCAAAAATACAGTTGTGCATTAAAAAACTCGCGTCGAAGAAAAATCAGAAATCAGAAATCAGGGCTCGACAGTCTTTTTGTGCATTCGGGACTAACACGAAAGAGCCTGTTTAATACTTAAAGAAGGAGCACGTAAAACTAGAAGACACAAACCTGCAAAAAACTTTCCTAGTCGAGGAAGATCTCTTTTCCACCAAAAAATGAATCGTCACACACGGTGCTCGAAGATTTTCTCGTATTAATTTGAGGATTTTGCGAGCTATTACGAAGCTGAATTTCGTGAGAAATACGAGAAAACATCTGAACCGTTCTTAATTTTAATTTTCTAACGTCGAACAACCTAAGCAGTAATCAACATAGCCCGACAGGTCGACCGTTTAAAATCTATTTCAAGGAAGAGACACTTAAAAACGCGTGGGATCGAGAACGAAACATCGTGTGTTCGTGTGCGAGAAAGGACGCGTTTGTCCCGGTAGAATCTATAAATGCAGTTCGTTAAATAATGTAAATATATCGGAGATTCGAAAGACAGATCATAGATGCAAAGACTGGCCCCTTCGCTCATGCCGGCTGCTACGTCGATTCATCTCCCCTGGGCCAAGTGAGACTTCCAAAAACGAATCTGGAAACTACCGATCTCACAAATGGCCGCGGCGATCCACAGGAAATAATCCCACGTTCGATCCATTCCCCAAGAGTTTAACGGCTACTTTGGCACAAACAACACTGCCCCGGGCCGGCACTCGCTTTTTGTTAAATATATATTTTGTTATATATTTATTTTTTTTTTTGTTATTTTCTTTTTTTTTTTTACCATTTCTCGTAGTCTCTTTCTCTCTGGTTCACGCGACACAACCTCATTCTCTCAGCGATCCTCTACATACGCAGTCAGACCCAACCACTTCCGGTTTTCAACCTCTTCTACGATCGATACGTATATTAATAAGATTTAATTGACTCCAAGAGAACGTCGATTAGACAAAAATCGTCGGGCTTCCGTTAAACGTCGCGAAGCCTAATCACCAATTAAATGTGTTTTTTTTACGAGATTCGTGACGTTCAGCCGGAGGCCCATTCATCACGACGCTACGACACTACTGATAAACTGTTTTTTTTTCTTCTTTTCCTCGCGATCAGTGTACAATTACATGTATGTGTGTATGTTTAATGTTCCGGTTTTTGGGGGAGGTGCGTCTAAGCTTAGTCCCTTGTGCTATACAAAACTCGTCACGCGTCTCCTCCTCGTTCTCTCTCCCCTTTCAAAACGTTCTTCCCTTTCTTCTCAATAACATATACATATATGTATATATATATATATATATATAATATTGATGCTCTGCGTATTAACGGCTACGTTAACGGCTTGTGTGTATCATAGTTTCATCGTAAATTTACCTTATTATCTTACACGACGCTAGCGGTTCAAACACAACAGACCCTCCTTCTCATCTCTATTATAGTTCCCTTTTGATACGTCCTAAACGCCTTGTCGAAAGGAATGCTTGGAGATCAGGAACTAATCGTCAACGAGGTTGAACACGCGCCGGATCCGGCATCCGGTAGGCCTTGCGAGTCCGTCCCCCCCTGGGAACGCTCGATCCATCGTCCCCCATACAGTGTTTCTTCTTTCTAGCCCCCCCTTCTATGTTTGTATTAATTATCGATATGTTAACGGGTTGTCATTATAGTGGTTTTTTTTTTTTTTAACCCTTATTATTACGATTAAAGATTCTACACAATCCTAAGCACCTATCGTCTAAGAAACCTGCGTCTGAACGTGTCCATGTGTACGTGTGTCCATGTGTATATGTACGTGTAACGTGTAACGTGTTTTTGTCCGTGTGATTAATACTTATCGTCGAACATACAAATTATAAAAATACCACCTTGCTACGACGTACGACGGCCACCGGTGGCGATCAGAGTCGATCACGTCTGAATACTGAAGGTACACCTTAACACATTACCGACCGATAGCCTATTAACCGACTGTTTTACCGGCCAACGCTTACCGACCGATAGCCTATCAATCAACTGTTTTACCGGCTAACGCTTACCGACCGATAGCCGATTAATCTACCGGTCGGTAAAGTGTTAAAAAAAAAAAGAGAAAAAAAAACGAAAAAGATCGGGTGGCCCACGGGATAAGCACCGGCTGCGACGCGTGGCGGAAGTGGACTCTCGACGATCGCCCACCGGGCCCCTGTCCCTCCCAAATCCCAAAGATCCACAGGATCGTCCAACGGGGAGGGAGAGGGCGCGAGCGTCTCGCTTAAAGTGTCGCTGAAGGGTCCCGTTGACGTATTAGCCTTAACAATAAATCTTAGTGCCCGACAGTTAAGCCGTTCCGTGTTCTGTTCCATCGAGGGGTACAGCCTCTGGTACCCTTGGGTACCCCTGAGCGCCCCCTACTTTCAACCTCGCTCGTCATTCTTCGTTCGTTCCGACAGAGAACGTCGACGATCTTCTTACAAGCTAAACAAAGACGCTTTCTTTGATCGATCTAACGCGGGGGGAGGGGAACAGCTGATCCCCCGGATCCGTTTTTTTTTTTTAACTTTAAAAACCCTTAACGCGTTATTTCAGTTTGAAGGTGCCGTAGGCTTGGCGTTACGATTGTAAAATATATAATATATGTATATATTCCTGTATGTATATATATAACGCGTATATATATACATACCTTATCATTTAAAGATCGACTCTGCGACGAGAGCCTCTTTTCCTTTCGTACCCATTTTCTAATCCTAGTCTCTCCTCTCCTCCCTTCAGAAATATGCTTTTCTCTCGTTCGCCTGTCCCGGGATCCTCGGGTCACGGTGTCCCTATCTCTCTCTTTCTCTCCGGGTCGTTTCTTACCCGTGACTCGACCGGTCGCGCGATCTACACTTTCCGGAGACTCGGACCTCTCTTTTTTTCTGTTCTTTTGTTTTCGTCTCGCGTGTGGTGTCCGCAGCCCTAATCCTGTTTCGCCTGTTGAAATTGTCGTACCCACCCCCTAGCCGTCCGCGAGAATCGAATGCGAGAAAATTGAGTATAAGAGACCCGGGGGGTCGCGTACTTCCGGTTAGGCCGGCGAAGTACCGTACACGTACACGTTGTCGCCGAGACGAGTCTCACCCCCCCTGGGTTACAGGATGTCGGTTCGCGGTTGCTTCTTTACGTCCAGAGGGAAGACGTTCGCTTCCCCTCCACCCCACTTCGTGCTGCGTTTGTTTGTTTTTTTTTTTGTTTTCTCGAGCTAAGCGCGGTTCAAAGGTGGCCAGTCAATGGCGTTGCAGCCCCTGCAGGAACGTACGACCGACCGACTGGACCCATCGCGCCGACCATCAGCCGTATACTGAGCCAGGTGACCAAAACGGGACTAGGGCGTAGGGCTGGTACCACTGTCGATCGTTTGATTGTGACTCTTGTTAGATGTTGCTCTTCGAGAAGGACACTCTCAGATGGTTGGATTCGCTCAGCTGGTAGTTGTGCATTTTCTGGAACAGTCGAATTCAAGGTTAGGTCTGGCTTAGATCTGGCTTAGATCTGGGTTAGGTCTGGCTTAGATCTGGGTTAGGTCTGGGTTAGGTCTGGCTTAGATCTGGGTCAGGTCTGGCTTATATCTAGCTTAGGTCTAGGTTAGGTCTGGGTTAGGTCTGGGTTAGGTCTGGCTTAGATCTGGGTTAGGTCTGGGTTAGGTCTGGCTTAGATCTGCGTTAGGTCTGGGTTAGGTCTGGCTTAGATCTGGGTTAGGTCTGGGTTAGGTCTGGGTTAGGTCTGGCTTAGATCTGGGTTAGGTCTGGGTTAGGTCTGGCTTAGATCTGGGTTAGGTCTCCCGCCTCTGGAGCTCCTAGCTTGGAGAAACCGGCAAGTCTACCGGCACTCCAGGGAGCTCCAGGAGGCTGGGAGACCGTCAGAGGAGAGGAGGCGCCATGCCCAACGGACCGTTGTATTTATGTGGTTCCAGCAGATGATTCGGGCTGGGGCCACGCAACGGTCCGTGGGCGCAGTCCTGCCACACTGGCAAGAGTGACAGGACAAACTAGGTAGGCTGTCCTACAGGTACCCACCGGGCATGGTTGCTTTGGTGAGTACCTGTGTCGAATCGGGAAGGAGGCGACGGCGGTGTGCCACCATTGTGGTGGACCCCAGGACACGGCGCAGCACACGCTGGCAGTCTGCCCAGCGTGGGCAGATGAGCGCCGTGTCCTGGAACAGGAAGTTGGGAGGAATCTCTCGCTGGCCACCATAGTGGGAAAGATGGTGGCGAGCGACAAAACCTGGCAAGTGGTGGCGTCCTTCTGTGAGGTAGTCATGTCACAGAAGGAGGCTGCTGAGCGGGGGCGCGAGCGGTCCGCGCATCCCGCTCGGAGAGGGAGGGCTCGGATGGGGGCCAGGGCGAGGCATCCTTCGCCTCCTGGCCCCCTCCAACGGCCTTGAGGTCCGGACGGGCCTCCAGAAGTGGGGCGGCCCGTTTGCATTCTCCGACCACTATGTCGGTGGCCTGGGGGTTGACGGGCCGTCCCTGGGGGCTGCAGGTGCTCGGTGCGTGGGGCCCTAGCATCGAAGGCAGCCCCGGGGCCGCGGGCATCGGGTGACCTGGCGTCCGCGGCGGAGAAATCAGGGGGGGAATGGACATGTTGTCCTTCCTCCCGGGATGAGCCTCGACAGGCAAGGCGCGGCGGGGGACTCTGTGATGTCTCACTAGAGTTCCCGGTCCCCCCGCCGCAGAGCCGGAGGACGGTCACCGTGGGGTTTTTTAGGTCTGGGTTAGGTCTGGGTTAGGTCTGGGTTAGGACCAAATCTGGACCATTTACATTCTAGAGTCCTTAACACTGAACCACGCGAATAATAGTCACAACAATTGTTTTTTAGATTTTGTTTAGAATTTTTGAGATACAATCACACTTTAGCGTCATTTAACTTCATGAATGTTTATTTATGATATATGTACAATGAATTTTTTAAACTATCTTTCCAGTCTTATTGTTTATAGCTCTTGTATCAGATACAGAATTATCTAAAGAAGCAAAATGTTTAATATAACCAAAGACTAGCAGTTCAGCAGATTTTCGTTAATGAATCTTGAAATGTCTGGTAAATGATATTAGAGATTTAGTATCTATAGACAGTGTAATGGATCTACGTGAAAAAGTGGGATTTTTTATATGATTTTAAGGTTCATGTCGAAAATGACTCGCAATAGAATTTTTACACGATTGAAAATTGTCGAGAAACTGCCTTAAAATTCTTGAAACACCTCCCAAATTATCATTTCATCAAATTATCTATTAAATTATAATTTAAAAAAAATTCTCTTATGGAGCTCTCTGTGCTACAGCAGCCTATTAACGCGTATTAAAAATATCTAAACTTTGGACCTGTGTAGTTCCAAAACTACTGGCCCTTTATTCAAAATTAAACCGCCGTTAGAAGCAGTAAACCTTCCTCTTTGAAATTCCTTTTTGGTTTTTGTCGATCCGACTTCCCGTTTTCGAGATATCGTAATATTTATGGAAAGGGGTAATTTTGCAGTCACGTGAGGTCATTGACCTCGCGTAAACGTAAACAAACCCTTTAAAGCCTCATATCTCCGGAACTAATAAAGCTATCGACTCGTACAAACGCTCATTTTAAAGGGTATTTCATCCCCTATCCAAAGAATGTATTAATTATTATTATTTATGCTGTTTTCTATGTTTATTTTCAAATTTACTTTGACACTACATATCCAAAGAAGTTTCAGCAATTCCTATCGATTATACGACAATTATGCGATAGAATTGGACTATTTATGAAACAAAATTCGTTTCCAAGTGTCTTTTTACCCCTTATCTGATTAAAATTACAAAATTTCGAGTTAGTTTGTAAATTTTTCATAGGAAATTGAAGCACTATGATTTTTAAAATGCACGTTTCAAGAAAAAATATGATAATCTTCACAAAGTCTAATAGTTTATTTTCCCAAAAAATTGCTCAAGAAAGTCTAAAAAAAATGCACTTTACCCTAGAAAACGCCCTTAGAAAAATCGATAAACAGAAATTTCAATTTAGTGGAAAATCTCCAAACATAGTAAACGCGAGATATCAAACACAGTAAAACTGAACTTACGATCAAAGCAGCGACCGCGTCGTCCATACTGGGCATCTGTATAAGGGCCATCTTTCTGTCTTTCGGGAAGAACTTGAAAGCCTTCACAGTGAAACCATTCTTGGTGAAAGCATCCCTGATCTCCTCTTCGGACACTGTAGCACTGAAAACACAACAAAAAACAATAACCAAACAGTACACCAACGGTTTGAAGAAGCTTACACACACTTCTCTCCATGCTTCACTTACGGGATATTCGATAAATGCAAAGTCGAGCTCGGCGGGTAGATGTTCTGGTAATTTTTCGAGCCCGGTTTCTTGAATCGGTGCAGAGAGCTGTTGGTGTAATCCTTGGTCAAGCCAGTGTCCGGCTGGCCCTCCTTTGGCAGCTGAACTGTCTGATGTTTGCTCAGCATCACTTTGATCTGCTTCCCAAACACTCTCAACTTGTCCATGTGTGTCAGTGCTGGCATCAAAACGCTCATTTTTAACTCGAGACTCTCACGAAGTTTCAACCAAGCACCAAAACAGTGATGACTTGATGGCTAGGCACACCTGGTCTCACGTGCATTGCCATTATTGGCTCACAATTACAATTCTATCACGTGACAAAGGAAACTAATAGGGTCAGAGTAGGATAGGGGAAGATTGAGAGGCATTGGAGCAACCATAACTCGAAATACTAGCCTCAGATAGAGCAAAAGTCATGGAGATCCTCCCCTACTATTCAGAGCAGGTCTCCAAGGTGAGAAAAGGTGGTGAATAGACCTTCACAATTACAATTCTATCACGTGACAAAGGAAACTAATAGGGTCAGAGTAGGATAGGGGAAGACTGAGAGGCATTGGAGCAACCATAACTCGAAATACTAGCCTCAGATAGAGCAAAAGTCATGGAGATCCTCCCCTACTACTCAGAGCAGGTCTCCAAAGTGAGAATAAGGCGATAAGTAGACCTACTATCCTTCTATTCTTGCTCTTGCTCTGTTTAGCTTCTAGGTGCCTAGCCACCAAGTCATCTCTGGGATACTCCAGCTAACTTTAAAGGGATTTTTCGACGATAGTTACCTAAATGTGCTTGATGAGGTTCGGCCATCTGAATCAGAGCCGAGTCCTTCTTGTTGTAGAGAATTTTCACGCGCTGTACATCCCCGTAAACGCCTAGACGCACAACACGCAAACACCACTTTAATAAGCTCGACTGGCCCCCAAGGAGCAGGCTTGTTTTTTTAAATAGGTTGACGCCGTCTAAGGATCGTCGAAGATGACACGGGACAATAAATTCGGTCGATCGAGATCGGGGTACGATCGGACTAAGACTTTTGGGGCATGCAAAGGGGCGATCGGTTCAGCTATCAGACGTCAAACCCTAAACATTTACGATCCTAACCCTTTGCACTCCTATGACATCAATTTTTATCTCAGGAGCTCCATTCGACATTTTTTCAAGTCCAGACCAAACAGATATACACTTGAAAATTACAAAGTACAACAACACTTATTTTAACAGGTAAAGGTTATAGCCGAATAAGGGGGTGAAATGTGACATACGATGGATCCATCGATAGAGCATCAAGAAGAAACGTTCTGTGCCAAATTTTAACCCTCTATCTTGTTTGGAAGGGTAGTTATTGCGAAAATTCGGATTAACGAGTTTGTGCCTATTTCCCCTATTTAATCGAGTACTAAAATTCTGAAAAAAATCTGGTGCATTGTGGTTATTGAGATACGTGTTTGAGAATTTTTTCCGATTTTTCGATTCGAAATCTTAGGTGTGAAAAATTGAAAACACAGAAAAATTCGGATTTCGTATTGAAGCTTTCGAGACACTAGATTTATATAATTACTGTAAATGCGTAATATCATTGGTTATCTCCCTGAATTTTTTCAGATTTTTTGGTAGAGGGCGCCGTAGTAGGAAAAATCGAAAACCGATTTTTTCGACGTTTTTCGCTTGAAAAAGCACCTTATACTTTTTTAATTTTTGTATTACAACACAGATATGTTTAAAACCATACAATATAGTTATCTATTAAAGAGAATACAAAAATTCAAAGTATAAGATGCTTTTCCACGCGAAAAACGTCGAAAAAATCGGTTTTTGATTTTTCCTACTACGGCGCCCTCTACCAAAAAATCTGAAAAAATTCAGGGACATAACCAATGACAATACGCATTTACAGTAATTATAGAAATCCAGTGTCTCGAAAGCTTCAATACAAAATTCGTATCTTTCTGTGTTTTTTTGCGTTTTCAATTTTTCACAACTAGGATTTCGAATCGAAAAATCGGAAAAAATTCTCAAACCTGTATCTCGATAACCACAATGCACCAGATTTTTTTCATAATTTTTGTACTCGATTAAATAGGGGAAATAGGCACAAACTCGTTAATCCGAATTTTCTCAATAACTACCCTTCACATTTGGTTCAAGGGCACATTTGACCCCCTTATTCGGCTATACCCTTTCAAATAAAACACTTAAAAGCATTGGGGAGCCGCTGGTAACAAAATTGGACTATAATTTGGAGTGCAAAGGGTTAAACTTTATGTTTTTTTTATTTCTCTATGGTGATTCTCGATCCGGTTGAACCGATCGCCTCCGAAGAAGTGAGCTCCTATGGAATTACGTAAAATAAGCAAAAGCTTCTGTAATATTAAGGTGTCTGGAACTGATATTAATAAAATATTAACGAAACGAATTCAAGAAGAGATGCTTGGAAGTAGAGAACGTGAAAAAAAATGTGTCGTCGACGGCGAAATGGCATGATGGGCGAAACAATGTGATGGATTGCGAATGAAACAGCTTTGTAGTAATAAAATAAGTTGAAATCACGAAAATAACGGAAAATTAAAAACGTTAAACGAGAATACCAAGAAATGAACGAAACACAAAATATATATGTTGAAGAGGAGAGTGAAAAAAATGATTTTTCTTTTTTCTTTATTTTACATTCACAACGAACACAAGGAAAAAAAAATTGTTTTTTTTTTGCGACATGACAATACGTCGAAAGCGACGATTATGACTATGCCTTGTTCGTGTTTCGATATATATATGTATATCGGTGTGTATTCATTCATTCAGCATATATATATGATATGGAAAAAAAAAATTGTTCGCTATTTTCGGTTTGTTCCTTCCTCTTCACTCTCCCAAAAAAATATAAAAAAAAAAAATTTGCTCACGAACACGTAGAAAACGCTGTTTCTGCGTGGGCGTGTGTAAGTGTGTGTTTGGTGTCAGTGTGCCCGCGTGTGTAAATATAATAATTAATAATGTAATATAATTAATAATATAAATGTAGAGACGTACCAAACAGGGTAAAGAGAGCGTCAGGCGTGACCATCTACACAGAGAACAGACAGAGTCCAGTCAGTAGTCAGCGAGTATAATAGGATTCGATGTATAGTGTTGGCACGCGCACAAGTTTCACGATCGACGTTTCGTTTCTTTTGCTTTTTTATTTTGCATTTTTTCTTTTCTTTTCTTTTCTGAAGCTTTCCAGACCTTTCGAAACGGAAACTGGTTTCGAATCGTTGCGTCCGCGGCGACTCCTCGAATATCATTTGACAAAAAGCTATGTTGTGTTTCGATGCTCTCGAAGTGCTTTTTCGAGTTTCGTTCGCAAAAGTATCGAGTAGCATTGGTGTTTTGAGAATGATAATAGATTTGGAGAATGTGGTAATAAATTTATAATAGTGTTGATCGATAGAAATTTTAGGATTGGTGTTTTGAGAATGATAATAAATTTGTAATAGTGTTGATCGATAAAAATGTTAGGATTGGTGTTTTGAGAATGATAATAAATTTGTAATATTGTTGATCGAAAAAAATTTAGGATTGGTGTTTTGAGAATGATAATAAATTTAGAGAATGTGGTAATAAATTTATAATAGTGTTGATCGAAAAAAAATTTAGGATTGGTGGTTTGAGAATGATAATAAATTTATAATAGTGTTGATCGATAAAAGTTGTAGGATTGGTGTTTTGAGAATGATAATAAATTTAGTGAATGTGGTAATAAATTTGTAAGTGTTGATCGAAAAAAAATTTAGGATTGGTGTTTTGAGAATGATAATAAATTTATAATAGTGTTGATCGAAAAAAAATTTGGGATTGGTGTTTTGAGAATGATAATAGATTTGGAGAATGTGGTAATAAATTTGTAATAGTGTTGATCGAACAAAAATTTTGGGATTGGTGTTTTGAGAACGATAATAGATTTGGAGAATGTGGTAATAAATATGTAATAGTGTTGATTGGAGAAAAATTTTATTTTTAATTTTTATTTTTCGTTGGAATTGAATTAATTGGTCATTGAGGATTGGCTATCCCTTGTATTTTAAGGGAATAAATTATTTTTGTATTATTTGGATATTATTTTTAAAGTAGTTGAATTCTTTTTTTCTAATAGAAATTTAGAAACATAAAAAATTCAGAACACTTTTACTAGGGGAAAGAATTTTATTTTTATTTTTGGTTGGATTGAAATTAATTGGTAATTGAGGATTGGCTATACTTCGTATTTTAAGGGAATAAATTATTTTTGAATTATTTGGATATTATTTTTAAAGTAGTTGAATTCTTTTTTTCTAATAGAAATTTAGAAAAATAAAAAATTCAGAACACTTTTACTAGGGGAAAGAATTTTATTTTTATTTTTGGTTGGATTGAAATTAATTGGTCATTGAGGATTGGCTAAACTTAGTATTTTGAGGGAATAAATTTTTTTTGAATTATTTGGATATTATATTTAAAGTGGTGGTATTCTTTTTTAAGATTTGTGTTACGTTTTGTAACATAAATTTAGAAAAATACATGGAAAAATTGAGAATATTTTTACTGGGGAAAACAAGATTTCAAAGCAAAAGAAAACCTGTAGGGGGTAAATATACTAATTGTGAGTAAACGATGAAGAGTCTTGATTCGTGTAACGTGAAAAAAAAAAAATGAAAACTTGTCTCAATATAATATAAATATTTATCTTTGGAATTGTCAATAAAAATTTGAAACACTTGTGGACAATTTTTATAAATATTTGAGTATGAATAGATAAATATGTTAATTTGAAAAAGGGTTCGTTAATAATTAATGAAAAAATTGCTCCAATATAATGTAAATATTTATTTGTGAATTGTCAATAAAAATGTGAAGCTTTTATAGACAATTTTTATAAATAATTGAGAATGAACAGATAAATATGTCAAATTAAAAAGGAGTTGTTGATAATTAGTGAAAAAATTGCCTCAATATAAGATAAATATTTATTTTTGAATTGTCAATAAAAATGTGAAGCATTTATAGACAATTTAGAAGTTTTAGAATGATTAGATAAAAGTGTCAAATTAAAGGGGGAATAATTAGTGAAAAAATTGTTCTAATATGATATAAATATTAATTTTTGGAATTGTCAATAAAAATGTAAAGCATTTATAGACAATTTTTATAAATAATCGAGTATGAATAGATAAATATGTTAATTTAAAAAAGGGTTTGTTAATAATTAATGAAAAATTTGCTGAAATATAATGTAAATATTTATTTTTGAATTGTCAATAAAAAAATGAAACACTTATGAAGCATCTGAATATTTCAAAACGAACAAAATAAAAAAAAGTCAAATTCAAGGGTTGATAATAATTAGTGAAAAACTCGTCTCAATATAATATAAATATTTATCATTGAATTGTCAATAAAAATGCATAACATTTATAGACAATTTGAACATTTAAAAATGAACAAATAAATATATCAAATCGAAGGGGTTGTTAATAATTAATAAAAAAACTCGTCTCAATATAATATAAATATTTATCTCTGAATTCTCAATAAAAAAAATGAAACACTTATGAAGCATCTAAATATTTGAAAACGAACAAAATAAAAAAAAGTAAAATTCAAGGGTTGCTAATAATTACTGAAAAACTCGTCTCAATATAATATAAATATCTATTATCAAATTCTCAATAAAAAATTGAGACCCTTATGGACCCTCTAAATATTTAAAAACGAACAGATGATAAAAGTATCAAATCAAAGGGGTTATTAATAATTATTGAAAAACTCGTCTCAATATAATATAAATATCTATTATCAAATTCTCAATAAAAAAATGAGTCTCTTATATATACCACCTAAATATCCACAAACCAACAGGTAACAAAAATACCAAATTAAAGTGATCATCAATAATTACTAAAAAAATTTTTCTCACGACATATGGAAGAAACTCTCATCATGTACCTACGCCTATGTGACAAAACTAGAAATTTCTCCGTTGACTTATGTGTGTATGGACCCTGTTACAGCGCACGGCGAGCAACGATTCGTAAACGTGGAAACGTAAATGCACGCCCGGAACAGCGAAAGAGCTGGAATTCACTTTTCCGGTCGATTTTCTTTCGGCTGTCAGCCCTCCGCAATCGTGAGTGGAGAAAAAAAAACAGTTAGAGAAACAGAGACAGAGTTACAGAGAGACGTAGAGAAGCAGAGAAACAGCGTGGGACCTTCTCGTCAATATGAATCCCTCGTGGTTTTGTCGTTTCTCGTAACGCGGGAATGATTTTGCGGGAGGGTTAAAAAACAAAAGAAGAGAAAAAAAAAAAAAAACATGGTACACTCGATCGTCTGTTTGTCAGAGGGGGTGGTGGGTGGCGGGAGGGGGGGAAAAAGACACTGTCCGGAAGCTTGTGCGCGCGGCGCAACGATAGTAGTACACATAGTTATAGTACAGTAGTGACAATAGTTGCAGCTGCGAAGTGTGACGTCGACACACAGTTTCGTCGCGAGGCGCCTTTCGTTTCGAACGATCGTAATTATTCGCGTCGACAAATTTTATTATCCGTTCGGAAAGTTTGCTTTTTTATGTCCCTTCGTTTCAGAATATTTTCGAACAGATCGATGGGAAATTTCGAGTGAAAATTGTTTCGACTAGGATGCAAAATAACTATTTTTTTGCAACTGAGTTTTGAATTGTTATTTTTAAGTTTGATGGTTTATTGGAGCATTATTTATAATTATTTGTTGGATGGAAAATAATTCTTTTTTTGCAACTGAGTTTTGCACATAATTACATTCGAGCACATAATTACCCACGGTAAAGAAATTCATTTCACGGGTTGGCACGGCATATTCTGCTCAAAATAACAAAAAATAAAATAAAATTATAGAATAACCAATTATACGGTCGAAACGTTTCAACATTTCTTTGATATCAACACTTTACCGACCGATAGCCTATTAATCGACTGTTTTACCGGCCAACGCTTACCGACCGATAGCCTATTAATCAACTGTTTTATCGGTCGTTAAGCGTTGGTCGGTAAAAATGTTGATTAATACGCTATCGGTCGGTAAGCGTTGGCCGGTAAAAAAGTCGATTAATAGGCTATCGGTCGGTAATGTGCTAAAGACTCTCGTGCTCCAATAAACCGTTACTTCAACTCATAAAAAATAAAAAATAAAAAATTCCTCGCATCCATAATAAATCTGCAAAAATATTCCGAAACATTAAAAAAAAAAGAATACTCCATTATTAATTTCAACCTGCACTCGCGACAAATCGATAACACATTGTTGCTAATTTAACCCCTTAACGCTCATATTTCTCGCGTTAACCAACAATGATCAGTTTTCTTTGTTGCATTTGTTTCTAAAAATACGGTTTTTGTTAATTACAATGTTGTATCTGGGTTGATGCAACAGTAAAAATTAAATAAAAAAAAAATGTATCTGATGTATAATTTGAAGGAAAACAAATATTATCATCCCTTAAACCGTTGGATTAAATAAATATTCTTTTTCAAAGAAGTCAAACTCGGGCATGAACGTTAACACTTTACCGACCGGTAGCGGCTATCGGTCGGTAAACGTCGACCGATAAAACAGTTGATTAATAGGCTATCGGTCGGTAAGCGTTGGCCGGTAAAACAGTCGATTAATAGGCCATCGGTCGGTAAAGTGTTATGGGGTTAATTCCCGTAATTACGCTTTTTTCGAGCTTCTCTCACGATTTCTCGAGTGTAATTTCTATTAAAAAAAGAAACAAAAAACGCCTCCTCGAACATCGTAGCCGACAAACGCTACGAATCGCTCAGGGACAGAGAATGGTGACGTTCGTAACGATTTCTATGTGTGTGTATCGAAAATGAGGGGGTTTGGGGGGTCGTAGGAGGTAAGATATAAAGGGTGACACAAAAGGCATACGCATCGAGACTTCGATTTTCCAGGTTGACGAACGACACTGTCGCTCGATACGAAAATATTGAAATCGAGAATTTTCGAACGAGAACAACGACCCTGGGGGGGTTTTCCCCTTATCCGCCATTTTCCGGGAGTCGACGCGAACAAACACGTGGAGAATGGCGTATCGAGGACAGCGTTTCGGCAAGGGAAGCTCGAGTCGAGGGATTGGAGAGACTGCAAGGGTTGCCTACGTAGCACTACATTGCAATCACATCGTCGTATTCGTGTTACTTTTCTTTCCTTATATAGGTACGTACCTAACGCCAGTCTTTTTTTGTCGGAGAAATGGCCAATTTTACTTTTTTTATTTGGGAAAATACGTCGAACCAAAAACTGTTCTCTCGTCGACCATTTCTCGCGGTGTCGGACGAGAATTAGAAAGACACGAAGAAAAGTTGCCCTCGATATTTATTTAAATATAATTCGAAATTAAAATTAGTTGAATTTAACGAGTTTTTTCAAAGTTGGTTGAATCTAACAAAAATTATAGAATATCAATTTCTGCATGAAATGAAATTTTAATCCACGAATACACCTTCTGTATAATATCACTTTTTTTTTTTGAGAAGCAGATTTTCAGAAGATTTCTGGCAATTGAAGTCTCTTTTTCTTCGTGCTTGTGTGTTTGGATGTCGTTTGACGTGCTCGTTTTGGCAACGAGCTCGCGAAAAGGCATCGTTAGAGTCACTTACCTCTTCGTTCAGGTTACTGACGAGCAACACCGCGGAGGTTTGCGTGTTGGTTGGCACGCGTACACCGAGGCCAGCAGCTCCGAGGGGGAAACCACCGAGGCCAGCCAGTCCTCCGGCGGGCGGTACCCCGTTGTAGGGCCCGGCCAAGGGCGAGGGTAGACCGTGCATGGCCGCGAAGGGCGTAGGAAGCACACCCGGTGCCCCTGCAATGGACTCTACTTCAGGAAATTTACAACGTATCGTTATTATAGTTTGACAAAGCTCGTTTGCTAGCGTGTTTTGGACATTTTTAATCGCCTATTTGTCAAGGGAAATTATCGACTTGGGGGATCTAGTAATTTGTGGAATGTTTTTGCAAAGTCGAGGGATATTTATTTTTATATTTTTAATTGAATTAATTAAATTCGATATAGTGGAGGAGTCAATTTTTGTGTTTATAATTGAATTTAGCATTTATGGAATTCCAGAAAGAGGAAAAAATTAAATTGTATTGTGGTATAGTGAGGGGAGTCAATTTTTATATTTTAAACTCTCAGAATTTAACATTTATTAAATTTAAATAGCGTTTGTTAAATTCTTAGAATTGCAAAATGTTTGGAATATTGAATTGTATATTGTAGGGAAATTAATTTTTACAGAATTTGAGGAGAAAATTAAATTGGGTATAATGGGGGGAGTCAATTTTTATATTTTTAATTGAACTTAGTATTTATGGAGTACCAAAAAGAGGAAAAAATTAAAATGGGTATAGAGGGGAGTCAATTTTTATATTACAAATTGCCAAAATTTAGAATTTATTAAATTTTAATGTAAATAGAATTTATTAAATTCTTAGAATTGCAAAATGATTGGAATGTAGAATTGTATATTGTGGGGAAATTAGTTTTTACAGAATTTGAGGAGCAAAGAGGAAGAAATAAAATTGGATGTATTGGGTAGTCAATTTTGATGTTTCAAACTCTCAGAATTTAGCATTTATTAAATTTAAATTTAAATATTATTTATTAAATTCTTAGAATTGCAACATACTTGAAATTTAGAATTGTATATTGTAGGGAAAATAATTTGTACAGAATTTGAGGAGCAAAGAGGAGGAAATTAAATTGGGTATAGTGGGGGGAGTCAATTTTTATATTTTTAGTTGAATTTAACATTTATGGAATACGAGAAAGAGGAAAAAATTAAATTGTATAGTGGTATAGCGGGGAGTCAATTTTTATATTTCAAACTCTCAGAATTTAGCATTTATTAAATTCACATTTAAATATTATTTATTAAATTCTTAGAATTGCAAAATATTTGGAATATAGAATTGTATATTGTAGGGAAATTAATTTTTAAATTTAAAATTCTTAGCATTGTAGCATATTTGGTATACCCAAAAAGTTAGAGGAATAAATAGAATTGTATATTGTAGGGAAATTAATTTTTAAAATTTCAAATTCTTAGAATTGGAGCATATTTGGAATACCAAAATGTTAGAGGAGCAAATAAAATTCTACATCATAGGGAAATTAATTTTTAAACTTCAAACTCTCAGAATTGCAACGTATTTGGGATACCAAAAGATTAGAGAAGCAATTAGAATTGTATATTAAAGAGAAATTAATTTTTCTATTTCAAACTTTCAAAATTACACCATATTTGGAGCATCAAAATGTTGGAGGAACAAATAGAGTTGTATATAGTAGGAAAATTAGTTTTTATAACCTAATCTTTCAGAATTGTTGTATATTTGGAATATCAAAATGTTAGAGGAACAAATAAAATTCTATATCATAGGGATATTAATTTTTAAATTCCAAACCCCCAAAATTGCAATATATTTGGAATACCAAAGAGTTAGAGGAACAAATAGAATTGTGTATAGTAGAGAAATTAATTTTAATATACCAAACTCTTAGAATTGCAACATATTTAGAATCCCCAAAAGTTAGAGGAATAAATAGAATTGTATATTGTAGGGAAATTAATTTTTAAATTTCAAACTCTCAGAATTGGAGCATATTTGGAATACCAAAATGTTAGAGGAGCAAATAAAATTCTACATCATAGGGAAATTAATTATTAAACTTCAAACTCTCAGAATTGCAACGTATTTGGGATACCAAAAAATTAGAAAAGCAATTAGAATTGTATATTACAGAGAAATTAATTTTTCTATTTTTTACTTTCAAAATTACACCATATTTGGAGTACCAAAATGTTAGAGGAACATATAGAGTTTTATATAGTAGATAAATTAATTTTTATATACCAAACTCTCAAAATTACATTATATTAAAAATCCCCAAAAACTTAAAAAAATAAATAAAATTATACATACTAAAGAAGTAAATTTTCATAGTTCAAATTGTCCACAATAGCTTTGGACTATTAGAAACCTTGGTCCAATTGAAAAATAACAGAATACCAATATTTCAATTTACCATAATTTAACAAACTCAAACAAGTAGATAATTAAATTATTTCTTCTTACGTTTTCATCAAGTTCAAATTACAATATAGCATATTTTAAAATTCATTTACCCACATTTTACAACACTTTGAACCCTCTCTATTTTTGTCTCCACTGTAATTTTGCATTGCAAATTCCTATGCTTTGAAATATTTTAAATTATCGTAGATGAGAATTTTATTTTTTTTTTTTTAATAAAAATTCTACCCTTTTCTGGCTTTGTTTAACCGTTTCTCTGTTTCTCTGGAAGACAGAGTGCGTTGATAGTGTTGGAGAGAGGAAAAACAAGATACAAAATGGAGGGTTTTGACCGTGGAATCGTTCCCGGATCGCCCAAGTCGATTATTTCCGCAACCTAACTGTAATTGTACTTTGTGGGGTTGGAGAGGCACAGCAGGATGAAAATATAATGGAAACAAAATTGCCTTTCTGCTCGAGTTCATGAGTTTCTCGTTTGAAAATTTCAACTGGAAAATTATGAATCCGCTGCTGTTAAGAGAACACGAAATACTGTAAATATTCAGTGAACAATATAAACATGTCCTCAACATTATTATTAATCTATCCCCAAGATATTACAAAATAAATTTCATTAAAAAAAAAAATTTGTAAGCTTGACACTCACATGGCACCTATTTTTTATTTAAACATAATCATCACCAACAATAAAAAATTCTTCAAACATGAAGGAGTCTATTTATTAACACTTTACCGACACTTTATCGGTCGGTAAACGTCGACCGATAAAACAGTTGACTAATAGGCTATCGGTCGGTAAGCGTTGGCCGGTAAAACAGTCGATTAATAGGCTATCGGTCGGTAAAGTGTTAAAATTAAAAATTTTAATAATCATAGAAACACAACGTTTTTACAGTGTTTCAAATTTATTACAATCAAAATACCAAACATCCCTTAAAATGAAATTTTAAACGATCCTAAAAGACACATTTTTAACGAGAATTAATCGAAATATAGAAAATTGGAAGGCGATACAAACGTTTGAGCGGCAGATGTAACAAATAAATTTCTAAATTTTTAATACGGTTCAAATTTAACAAAATATCAACGTCTAATATAACTGCAATAATCGTGTTCGAATTCGTGTAGATGTTTGTTTAATGTTTCTCTATTTTTTGCGTAAATTTATTTAGTGATTTTTTTTTACAATGCAAACAAATTTTAAATAGTGAACTTTGTCCATACTTGATATTTTCTCTAATATTTTCGCTACTCACTGTAAGTCTGTTGTCCTTGAACGTTTCGATCCTCGTTATGAAACCACATGAGAACATTTCCCCGGTCAATAGTATCTTCAACAAATTACAATGTATCACATGAAACCTTTCGTAATAGCATTCCTGATAATTTGTGTCAAGCTTTTATTTTTTTTATTTAATTTTTACTGTTGCATGAACCCATTAGGGTCATTAGCAACCACAATACCTTACAAACGTTTACTGAAACAAAGTGAGACGAAATATCGACCGAAACAATTGTTACAAAATTCAAAATTCAATTCCGAAGTTCGTCGAAGGACTTTTTCTTTTTATTTATTGTTAGAAATTAAATTCTGGTATTTCGTTTTATTCGTTACTGGAATTAATTCGTCGTGAAAATTTCATTTTGAATGTTTGTACATCGCTGCTCAAATGCTTCGAGCACCCTTCCAATTTTTTAACAGAAATAAAATTTTCTTATGTTTCTATATTTAATTAATATTCTCTTGAGACAAAGATTGCAATGAAAAAAATATCTAAATTAAAATAAAAATAAAAAATGTGTAGATTAGGGATGTTCACCCCATTTCCTATGCTCGAAATTTTAGAAAAATTGTGCAACTTTTTGGAGCCCTCAATAAAAAATTGGAAAAAGGCAGAAAAACAAAAATCGTTCTCAAAAGCTTCGATCACTCCTCCAATTTTAACAGAAATAAAATTTTCTTATGTTCCTATATTTAATTAATATTTTTTTGAGAAAGATTGCAATGAAAAAAATATCTAAATTAAAATAAAAATAAAAACAGTGTAAAATGGGGAGGTTTACCCTATTTTCTATACTCGAAATTTTGGATAAATTGTCTAACTTGAAAATTTGAGAAAAAAACAGAAAAACACAAAAATCGTTCTCAAAAGCTTCTCAAAAAATATGTAAATGATTTAGAAAAAATATCGAAATGAAAAATAAAAAAATTTATGCAGTAAAGATGGTTACTTTTATATATTTTCTATGCTCGAAACTTAGTAAAAAATTTTCCGAAATTCTGGATCCCCCAATAGAAGAAATTTGAGAAAATGGGGTAAAAATGAGAAATAAAAGGGGACGTATAGAACGGGGGGATGAATAACCACGAGAAAATCGAAACGTTCCGGGTCGCATCGATCGTCGCGGTATCACGTTTTCTCGTTGCGGTGCAATTAATTAATTTACCCGAGGAAATAATACCGTCTGACCGCACACAATTCGATTCCGCTCGAAAATGGAGCTGAAAACGAGCGGCAAATTGGGTGGGCAGGGAGACGCGGCCGGTTCTCGCTCAGACACGGAATAACAATTTATCATAACGTCCGAATGACAGAAACGAGTCGGTATTGCTATTAATATAATTAATTCTAATGGACTGAACGCTCGGAAATCGCGAAGCTAATTGATCGATCGATTTTCCGGTCGGGTTCATCGATCCGTGGCGTTGCTCCGCGACTCCGCGGAAAGCAAACGCGCGATACGTGACAGGGGGGAAATCGATGTAGAATGTAAACTGGGTGATTTGATCGATTTTAGAAAAAGTTCGAACGTCCGTGGAAAATTTTTAACGATGGTAATTTAATGAGTGTAATTATTACGCTGTCGCTCGGAAGGCTGGAGAATTTTGGGACGTTAAATTTAGGGGAAAAATCAACACTGATGTTCTGGTAGAATGACAGGGTGAAAATCGATATTTCAGATTTTTAAACAGTATCGATTAAATTACTGTACTATATGAATAATGAATAAGTAGCAAGGAAGATAGTTTTTTCATTTTGTATGTCATTATTGTACTGTGCATTTTTGCAATATATAATAAAGTTAAAAAAAAAGACTTCAAATTTTGCACTTTTCAAATTTAATTATAATTAATTAATAACAGATAATTTATAAAAAAAATGTATGAATAATATCTGCATAGAAGCATACGAATTAATCTACAATTTGTCATTTTTTTTTTCGTGAATAAAATTTACGTGGATAGTAAGCTCGACGAAATAGGGGTAAACATCCTCCCAAAAAGAATTTGAAAAAGATCGAAGGAAATATAGACGTATGTGGTTTAAAAAAATAATAAAATTAGTTTTCTACAGTTTATATTAATTGTTATAAAATTTGTTTGGATAGCAAAAATTAATTTTGATGAAATAAGGGTAGATATCCCTCCAAGAAGAATTTGTAAAAAGATCGAAGGAAAAATAGACATATGTGGCTTAAAAAAAAAAATAGAAATTAGTTTTCTATAGTTTGTATTCATTGTTGTAAAATTTGTCTGAACAGTAAAATTTATCTTGATGAAATAAGGGTTGATATCCCCCTTAGAAGAATTTGTAAAAAAGTCGAAGGAAAAATAGACCTATGTGGTTTAAAAAAATAATAGAAATTAGTTTTCTATAGTTTGTATTTATTATTATAAAATTTGACTGGACAGTAACATTTATCTTGATGAAGTAAGGGTAGATATACCCTCAAGAAGAATTTACAGAAAGATCGAAGTAAAAATAGACGTATGTGGTTTAAAAAAATAATAAAAATTAGTTTTCTACAGTTTGTATTAATTATTTTTGAATAAAATTTATCTTGATGAAATAAGGGTAAACTACCCCAAGAAGAATTTGTAGGAAAATTGAAGGCAAAAAAGACATACATGGTTTAAAAAAAAAATAGAAATTAGTTTTCTATAATTTGTATTCATTATTCTTGAATAAAATTTACCTTGATGAAATAAGGGTAAACATCCCCCCATGAAGAATTTACAGAAAAATCAAAACCAAAACAGACAAACGCGATTTAAAAAAAATAGAAATCAGTCTACTAAAATTTGTATCCATTTTGTTCGTGAATAAAATTTTCCCCAAACAGTGAGCTTGATGAAATAAGGGTAAACATCCCCCCATGAAGAATTTGTAGCAAAATTGAAGGCAAAATAGACATATATGGTTTAAAAAAAAAATAGAAATTAGTTTTCTATAATTTGTATTCATTATTCTTGAATAAAATTTGCCTTGATGAAATAGGGGTAAACATCCCCCCAAGAAGAATTTACAAAAAGATCGAAACCAAAACAGACAAACGCAATTAAAAAAAAGATAGAAATCAGTCTACTAAAATTTGTATTCATTATTCTTGAATAAAATTTACCTTGATGAAATAAGGGTAAACATCCCCCCAAGAAGAATTTACAGAAAAATCAAAACCAAAACAGACGAATGTGATTTAAAAAAAATAGAAATCAGTCTACTAAAATTTGTATCCATTTTGTTCGTGAATAAAATTTTCCCCAAACAGTGAGCTTGATGAAATAAGGGTAAACATCCCCCCATGAAGAATTTGTAGCAAAATTGAAGGCAAAATAGACATATATGGTTTAAAAAAAAAATAGAAATTAGTTTTCTATAATTTGTATTCATTATTCTTGAATAAAATTTACCTTGATGAAATAGGGGTAAACATCCCCCCAAGAAGAATTTACAGAAAAATCAAAACCAAAACAGACGAATGTGATTTAAAAAAAATAGAAATCAGTCTACTAAAATTTGTATCCATTTTGTTCGTGAATAAAATTTTCTCCAAACAGTGAGCTTCATGAAATAAGGGTAAACATCCCCCCATGAAGAATTTGTAGCAAAATTGAAGGCAAAATAGACATATATGGTTTAAAAAAAAAATAGAAATTAGTTTTCTATAATTTGTATTCATTATTCTTGAATAAAATTTGCCTTGATGAAATAGGGGTAAACATCCCCCCAAGAAGAATTTACAAAAAGATCGAAACCAAAACAGACAAACGCAATTAAAAAAAAGATAGAAATCAGTCTACTAAAATTTGTATTCATTATTCTTGAATAAAATTTACCTTGATGAAATAGGGGTAAACATCCCCCCAAGAAGAATTTACAGAAAAATCAAAACCAAAACAGACGAATGTGATTTAAAAAAAATAGAAATCAGTCTACTAAAATTTGTATCCATTTTGTTCGTGAATAAAATTTTCCCCAAACAGTGAGCTTGATGAAATAAGGGTAAACATCCCCCCATGAAGAATTTGTAGCAAAATTGAAGGCAAAATAGACATATATGGTTTAAAAAAAAAATAGAAATTAGTTTTCTATAATTTGTATTCATTATTCTTGAATAAAATTTACCTTGATGAAATAGGGGTAAACATCCCCCCAAGAAGAATTTACAGAAAAATCAAAACCAAAACAGACGAATGTGATTTAAAAAAAATAGAAATCAGTCTACTAAAATTTGTATCCATTTTGTTCGTGAATAAAATTTTCCCCAAACAGTGAGCTTGATGAAATAAGGGTAAACATCCCCCCATGAAGAATTTGTAGCAAAATTGAAGGCAAAATAGACATATATGGTTTAAAAAAAATAAAAATTAATTTTCTATAATTTGTATTCATTATTCTTGAGTAAAATAGGGGTAAACATCCCCCAAAGAAGAATTTACAGAAAAATAAAAAAATAGAAATCAGTCTATTATAATTTGTATCCATTTTGTTCGTGAATAAAATTTTCCTCTGACAGTGAGCTTGACGAAATAGGGGTAAACATCCCCCTAAGAAGAATTTACAGAAAAATCGAAACCAAAATAGACATACGCGATTTTAAAAAAAAATAGAACTTCAAATTACTAAAATTTGTATCCATTTTATTCTTAAATAAAATTTTCCCCCAGACATTGAGCTTGATAAAATAGGGTTGAACACACATCCCTCTCTCTCAAAGAATTCGCAGAAAGATCGTAGGAGAAATGGCGAACGAGTCTCGATTAAAAATAGACATAGGTTAAAAAAATACAGTTTCTCTTTCTTTTTCCTTCCATAGGGGGCGTAAAAAAGAGAAACGTTTTAAAAAGCAAACCGGGGTGCAGCCCCCGCGGGCACGTGCGAGCGGAATAATGGAATCACACAGGATAACAGTGGCCGGGTGAAAATCCGGGGAATTCAATTTTCATAATGAAAAAAACAGCCACGCTCCGACAATTTTCTGTTAAACTCGCGTGGTGGAGGGGGAGGGGGGAGGGGGGGGGGCGGGAGACTCTGGTTTACGAAACTTCTCGAAAATTTCATTTCATAGATACTTTGGCCAGGCTCGAGACAGTTGCTTCTTCATTATTGTACTCCCCGCTATTATTACCCGGGGGCCCCCGTAACCCGGGTGTTAATTAAATTTTATCTTAACGACGTTATCGTCTCTTAGCCATCCGATGAATAGGGGGGGAAGAAACGCCGGGGAGATGTCCAAAGTTCCGAATAGTTACGGCGTATAGTTAACCGTATCGTGGGGATCGACGAAGGGACGAGAGGGAATTTTTAAGATACCCGTGGAAGTTTAAATTATACGAGGGACACCCGTTGGAATCTCGCGCCGAGCGCCAAACAATGGATTTTTCGATGGAACTTTCAATTATCGTTAGAGATGGGGATCAAATTCAATATACAGGCGCGTATTTTAGTAAAGAATATGTAGAAACTCAAAAAATATTCAAAAAGTTGATCCTTGACCCCCGCAAAATGAGAAAACCCCCTTAAAAATAGTTCAATTTTCAAACAGCCATAACTCATACAATAGTGAATATATTTAAATGAAACTTTTTTCTGAAGCAGAGCTCATAGATATCTACAAAAAAGTATTAGACAAAATTTCCGTAGCGCGTCAAACAAATTTATCAAAAATGAAAAACCAATTCTCAATAGTTCCTAAAATCGATTGGGGGTAGTTCCCTTTTTCGGGGCAAAATAAAAATTTCAAATCGTTCTGAAAAAATTATTTACGCTTGCAGAAAGCAATTACAATCATGTTTTATGAATAGACATACCCCCGAAATCCTAACCATTTTCGAGGAAAAAATTCATTACTGAAAATATAATGTCTGACCATATAATGTCTGTTTCACTGAAAATTGAAAAATTTCAAATCATACTGGAAAAATTATTTTCGGTTACTGAGGTCAGTTTCAATCATTTTTGGTCAATACACATACCCCCAAAATTCCACGTACTATCGAGAAAAAAATTCTTTACCGAGGTCGTTAATAATTAGTGAAAAATATTTATCTATGAATTTTCAATAAAAAAAAATGAAATGTGGAACGTTTAAATATTTCAAAACGATCAGATAAAAGTTTCAAATTGAACTAAACAACGAAACACAATTATTTAGAAAAATTGTTTAAAAATTTAGGTTCGTCGACACGGATATGTTTAGTTTTTATAACGTTCGAAGAATTTTTTTGTGTTGTTGGTGATTCGATAATTAATTCGAAACGAAAATAATTCTCACGAATTTAAAAAAATCTATAAATATTGTATTTCAATTTTATTAACATTCATCGCGTTGGAATGTAACTTATCTGATTGGAAATTCCCCAGCTTCGAGTCAGTAATTAATTAGGTACGTAAAAGTCACTCCACGTATCGATTATTTTTTGCTAAGAATTTTGTTCAAATTCAAATATGAAATAGTCCATGAAAAATTAGAAAAAAAGAGGATGAGTCACAATTTTGATAAAATTTTTCCCCCCATATTAATTGAAAATATAATATTTAAATAAATTCTTATTAAAGACTGTCCCTTTTAAACAAAATTATTTTAGTCTGAAAAGTCATTTTGCAATTAATTAATATTATATATATATTTCTAATGCAAAGATTTTTGTTCAAATTCAAATATGATCTAGTCCATGGAAAATTAGAAAAGGGGGGTGAGTCACAATTTTGTTAAATTTTTAGAAATAATTAAATATTTAAAACAAATATGTCCTTTTAAACAATCTCATTTTAGTCCGAAGAGTAATTTTCCACTAATATTGCGCGGATGAAATTCTATTTAAATTCGAACAAATTTCGAATAACCCATAAACGGTTAGACACATCCAGGAGATCAATTCTCACGGGTTTTAGTCGGACCGGTGAAAATCCTTGGCTACTAACCAGGTATTCTAGCTCGTGGTTGCGATCCAGCACCCATCAGCAATTGTGGAAGAAGCTCACCGCCCAGAGCCAGCGACGCCGCGTCCAAATTTGCGTCACCGGTGGGGAGGGTGGGGTTGGTATAATCCCTCGATTTGTCGTTGTTGTATTTCACGTTCAAATTCTGCATCTTGCTGTAATCGATGCGCAACGTGCAACAGGAATTGTAAATGTTCTGGCCCTCCAGCGACTGCAACAGACAAAAACAAAAACCAAAATTCAAAATCTCAATTTTCTCCATTTTCTCATACACAAAAAAAAAAAATTGCATTTCAACGTAGCCTTAAATCTATCGTTAACAAAAGAATATTCACTCTAAGTCGCATCATTTTTTATTAGACGAGCAACTTATAAGGGGCGTTTTATTTTGTTTATCAAGATATCGACAATTTTAATAGTATTTTTCGAATTTAGATAGAAAAAATTTTAATGGTAGACTCTAAAGCCCAAAATAAGACGAAAATCAAGAATATTAATTTTTAAATTGAGGCCTCTTTAAGAAGTTATTAACGTTTGAAGTCAAAGTGTGTCAAAAATTTTAATAGAAAAACAAAATTATCCTGGATATTGAATTTACAAGAATATGTTTCAAATGAAAGCTGTGTATTTTTTTACATACAATATGATTCCAAAATAAAAAATATGGGTATATGATAAATATAGCCGAGTTGATGAAATAAATAATCGCTCAGGCACTCAAAATTTTGACAGAAGATTCTAGAGATCAAAATGAGACGAGAATCAAGAATAGTAATTTTTAAATTGAGGCTTCGTTAAGAAGTTATTAGCGTTTGAAGTTCCGCCTGTGAGACTGCAAGCTGCGCGCGCAGACAGTCTGCACACTTCAACTTCAAACGTTAATAACTTCTTAACGAAGCCTCAATCGAGAAATCGTTATTCTTGATTTTCGTCTTATTTTGGCCCCCAGAATCACCTACTAAAATTTTTTGGCCGAACATTCTAAATAAGTTGCTCGTCAAATTGGAGTAATTAATTAATAGCTCGTTCGATCATCCCGAAAAGCGTAGAAACAGTGACTGTTTAATCTCCCATTAATAACGACCTCTAATGTAATTGTAACGATGCAATCGAGGCGGAAAGACACGGTCTGATTATATATGCGCGTTCGAGTCGCGTCTAAGCAAACCTGGCAGCGTGCTTAACCTGCGTACGCATTGCTTGCATTGTTGCAACATGCACGCCTGTGTACGTATGGAGTACACGTGTGTTTGACCGTGTTCCTCCGCCGGCCATTTACACGGGCTAATGAATTTCATACATAATTACCTGCCTGTGCACAGGTATGGCTCGAGGCTACCTTCCCCGGGACACGGAACTTTTCCAAATTTTAGCATTCGGGGGGATTCGAGACACAATGAACGAAGCTTCAGATACTCCATAAGAATAATAGAGAGCATATATCGTCACTATTATGCACAAAAATAAATATTTTATTCTTCAAAATACTCGAAACGTGTAACTGTAATATTAGTGCCTTTCAGATATCCGGGTCTTCCCTATTGGAAATTAATTTTCACAAAATCGTAAACTGGACGATGCCGTGACATGATTCAGACATCTGTAAACTTGGTTTATGAGAATTTGTCATAGAAATAATAAGAAATGAACCAACAGGAAACGACCTTATGTCAACTGAAGTCTGGTATATTCTTTTACGACTCGAATAACGATGGCAAGACCAGTCATATTTCTCTGAGAGTATCCAGAGTAATGATCTATGGATCAAGAAGGTTATAGCTTCGATTGGATAGCACAGAACCTTAAGCTTCTTCAGACTACTTTCAAGTATATAACTCGATGTTTGAAAGTATTTATTTAAAGATATTTCTGTTCTTCGATCGCGATTTATCTTGAATGGGAACGGAAGGAACACGAAATGAAAATCCGTTACGGAACGTCATTTCTGCAGCTTTCATGTCACCCCGTAAACATGTTACAGAGTTCCTTTATCTGATTTCCAATTTAATTTCGCCGGACTGTTGGCCGAATTTTCCCTCGAAATATCCCGACAGCGACGTTTGTTTGTTAATCCCCCCCTCCCCACCGCCTGTTAATTTCAACGAAAGAATTCCCGTTCTAATTATGAACGGTCGCTTTACAGAAAGCGCGTACCGGTTAATTAATTGCTTACGCGGAAAAGTGGGGAACCGCCGGGACTGAAATAATTTTAAACTGATTACTCGGCCGGAAACGACATCGGGGGCTTGGAAAATTAAAAATCCGTTTGGGAACGCGAAGAGTCCCGTGCATATTTCGCGGGCCACGCAATATCCTCCTTTTTCATCAGCTGGTCAGAAAACTACGCGGCACGGGGCTCGCTGACGTACAAAGAATAAGTAATTTCGGTTAACAAAGTTCACCGGGATAACTGAAATTAAATTATTTTACTATCGTACGGCTAGTGAAATTTTTTTTTAGAGTAGCTTTAAGGGGGAAGGGGGAGCCTATCGTGTATGTGTGTGTGCGTGTGTGTGTGTGTAAATCATTTTCACGGAGGGGGCCCTCGACAACGTTCGATGAGCATGTTTCGAGGTAATCTAGTTTCTAGGATTTTTTGAGCAGAATTTACATGTTAAGTGTGTGTAAATCATTTTCACAAGGGGCTCTTGATAACGTTCGATGAACATGTTTCGAGGTAATCTAGTTTCTAGGATTTTTTGAGCAGACTTTACATGTCTAGTGTATGTAAATTGGAGTATTCTTTTGGAAGATTGATAGAGAATGTTATCGAGGGCCAAGATATTGAAAATATTGCAAAATCGACGAAATATATCGAATCATTTTCACGAGGGGCTCTTGAAAACGTTAGATGAACATGTTTCGAGGTAATCTAGTTTCTACGATTTTTTGAGCAGAATTTACATGTTAAGTGTGTGTAAATCATTTTCACGAAGGGGCTCTCGATAACGTTCGATGAACATGTTTCGAGGTAATCGTTTTTCTAGGATTTTTTGAGCAGAATTTAAATGTTAAGTGTGTGTAAATCATTTTCACGAGGGGCCCTTGATAACGTTCGATGAACATGTTTCAAGGTAATCTAGTTTCTAGGATTTTTTGAGCAGAATTTACATGTTAGGTGTGTGTAAATTGGAGTATTGTTTTGAAAGATTGATGGAGAATGTTATCGAGGGCCAATATATTGAAAATATTTCAAAATTTTCGAAATATATCGAATCATTTTTACGAGGGGCCCTTGATAATGTTAGATGAACATGTTTCGAGGTAACACTCTGTTTTCTAGGATTGTTACTATAATTTACATGTGATTTAGGGTATGTAAATTGTAGTATTATTAATTAATTATGTGTGTGTTGTAGTTGCAATCCTAGAAAACAGTATTATTTGGAATTTTTTTTTTTTTGACGAAAAATTTAGGCACTCGAATTTTTTTCTCGAAAGTGCATAGGATTTCAAGGGTATGTCTATTCACCAAAAATGATTGTAATTGACCCCTGCAATGGAAGGTAATTTTTTCAAAATGATTTGAAATTTTTTTTTTTCGCTGAAAAATTTAGCTACATTCGTGAATTTTTTTCTCGAAAATGAGGAGGATTTTGAGGGTGTGTGTAATGACAAAAAATGATTGTAATTGACCCCTGTAACTAAAAGTAATTTTTTTTAAATGATTTGAAAATTTTTAATTCTTCCAACTATTTCACACATACTTGAATTTTTTTCTCGAAACTGGCTAAGATATCGGGGGTATGACTATTGACCAAATATAATTGTAATTGACCACCGCAATTGAAAATAATTTTTTCAGATTGATTTGAAAATTTTTAATTTCGCCTAAAAATTTCTACAGGTTTTGAATTTTTTTCTCGAAACTGCGTAGGATTTCGAAGGTATATTTATTAATCAAAAATAATTGTAATTGAGTTCTTCAACTAAAAATAATTTTTTTAGAAGGATTTAAAAAAATTTTTTATTATCGAACAATTTAGGCACCTACCCCCTGTCGAATTTTCTTAGAAATCAGTTTTTCATTTTTAATAAATTTCTTTGACGCGCTACAGAAATAATGTTTAATACTTTTTTGTAGGTACCCATGAGCTCTACTTCAGCAAAAAGTTTCATTGAAATATATTCACTATTATAGGAGTTATGGCCATTTGAAAATTGGTCCATTTTTGTAGTGTTTTTCTTATTTTTCGGGGTCAAAGATCAACTTTTCGAATATTTTTGCAATTCCTACATATTCTTCACTAAAATACGCGTCGTTTGCATTTTGAAAAACTAAAATCGTCCGATCCGTTCAAAAGTTATGGCATTTTAAAGATTGGTATGAATTTTCAGTGAAACAACGTTTGCTTAGATATTACATTTTCGTTTAGGAATTTTTTTCTCGAAAATGTGCAGGATTTCGAGGTTATGTTTATTAACCAAATATGATTGTAATTAACCCTCGCAACGGAAAATAATTTTTCCAGAACAATTTGAAATATTTTTTTTTCGCCGAAAAATTTCATATCTTCACGAATTTTTTTCTCGAAACTGCGTAAGAATTGGAGGGTATGTCTATTCACCAAAAATGATTGTAATTGACTCCTGTAATCGAAGGTAATTTTTTCAAAACAATTTGAAATTTTTTATTTACACCAAAAAATTTAGGCATGTATTCGAATTTTTTTCTCCAAAATGGTTAGGATTTGGGGGGTATATCTATCCACCAAAAATTTGTGTAATTACCCCTTCTAGTTAAAAATAATTTTTTCAAAATGATTTGAAACGTTTCAATATTCTGGGAAACATATCAATGTATGGTCAGACATATTTTCAGTAATGAATTTTTTTCTCGAAAACGCATAGGATTTTGGGGATATGTCCATTGACCAAGAATTATTGTAATTAATCCCTGCAGTCGGCCATAATTTTTTCAGAACGATTTGATACGTTTCAATTTTCAGGGAAACACATCGATGTATGGTCAGACATATTTTCAGTAATGAATTTTTTTCTCGAAAATGCGAAGGAATTCGGGGATATCTATATCCACCAAAAATGATTGTAATTAACCCTCCTAGCCAAAAATAATTTTTTCAAAAACGATTTAAAATTTTCTAATTTCTACACCTACCCTCTGTCAATTTTTCTTCAATATTCGTTTTCCATTGTTAAAGAACACAAACATGGGCAATATTACAATACAATTCATTAATAAAAAATGAA